TTTTCGTTTAGTGGAATAACAATTCTAAAAATTCAAACGATGCGCTATGTGAGCGCAAATATGTTAACAACATTGTAGTATATAATTCCTGAATACTGAAGATAACAATTTTGTATCAAAGGCGTTTGTTTCTTTTGTAAGCTTCTTCCGTAACTCCCCGCGGCAACTTTATATAAGTCATAATAAAGACAAGCTAAAGTACCAAAAACAATATGTGATATGTAGTAAAAGTACTCAATTAAATTATGAAAACGTGCGGTCAGACTGTATCTGCATATGTTTAGTATGCTTTTGATAAGATAAGGTACATCTGAGTGTAGTGAGTGAGACCCGCTGGCCCGCAGCTCATCTCGTATTGTAACGCAGAGTCGCGGGCGTTGCGCGGCGGCCATCGACCGCGCGCCTTCTCTAAAATATTCCAAGCATGCACAAATTAAACTGGTTTTTTCTTCATATTACTTTATTACCTTTGCATAAAAAACATTGGAAACTAAACAATCTCACGGCACCGTGCAATATAGCACACCTGATAACTATTTGACAGTAGTATCTCGCAGGGGCTTTGAAATTGTTCTGAGTTGTTTTAATTGGTTTCATAAATATCGTAATCTCTTATTACATAAATGAAGTATAATGAAAATAATAATAGTTCCAAAAAGAATAACACAGATTCTACTAAACAAGTTGCTAAGACTTATACTTCTTGCTGTCTTAAAATATGTTGATGTTGATTTTTATGTAAGTGATATTAACCTAAAAGTACCTTACAAAGGTTGCCAATACTGTTTTTATCCTATATCGAGGATAAAACACATGACTAATGTCCTAATGGCAATGATAATGTGAGGAAATACCTAACCCATATTTCGAAAATATATTTTGAATTTAATAGGTGTAGTTGTTATTCTCAGAAACTCAAATTATACAGAAAAGGAACATACGGATTATATACCTTCTATAAAAAGTGAAGTGACCCAAACAACTCTCCCTATGGCGATAAGAAGATGCCTAAAACAAAAGCAATTACTTCCCACATGAGGTTGAGTCGAAAGCTCGCTCCAATTCATTTGTAGCTTTTTGTCTCAAGGGAATGTAAGCCGTCAGACTTTAGTCTGGTCCGTAGGGCAGCAGCGCGGGGGGCCAGTACCTCGCCCTTTTGTTTTTGTACCCGTGCAAGAATGCAAAACAATTATAATTCTCTTTGGGATAAGTCGAAGCGTTCCTTGAGAACCGGGCGTACGCAATCAACAAATGATTTTTATATCTTATTCGGCTTGTGGTTAAAAAAAAACTGTAATTGGATTAACCAAGATCACACAAGGTATTATTTGGACGTACTAGAAACGCTGAGGGGAATCTGCGGATTGGTCCCGGCTGCTGTTGATGAGCAGGGAGTGGTCGGCGTGATGGAAACCGTGAGAGGACGCGAGGCGGGCTTTCTCTCACAAGCACCGACACTGACCAATCCATTTACGTTAATTGCGGCAAGATGGGGATAAATCGGCGTCCAGCCGTCCAGCGCCGAGTTACGAGCGAGCCGACTATAAAATAAATTATACCCACTTCGTTGGCCTCTACTCAGTTTTTTGTTACCGTCCAAAGCGAGGAAAAAAAAAACAAAAGCAAAATCTCGAGAGGACGAAATACGAGGCAAAGACAAAGCTTGAATTTATCTACTGATAATATAGACGTAGGGCGGGTGGCGCGGCAGACGCAGAGTTGCCGGGTGGCCGGCCAAATTATACGGCCGCGCATTCCTGCGTCCAGGCAAAAACATGATATATAGCCGCCTTGTGACGAAATATTTGAAATTCGGAGCTGAACCTGCCTGCCACACTCTAAATGGAATCCACTTTAAATATTATCTCTGACATTCTTTTCAGACGACTTTATAAGCTTTTACATGATACTTATTTAAAGAAGGAATGTGAACCATGAAACGATATTATCATAATATTTACGGCTGAGAGTTTCGATTGATGTCATATTTTTACCTACAGAATCAAAGGCTACTGAAATAAGTTATTTTATAAAGATAAATAAAAGTGTATATTAAGGACCTACAAAAAGTATAGGAATAAATTTAGGACAAGGTACAAAACTTGACCAAACGTAGAATAATCAAGGACATACATAGGCAGGTGGATAACTTATTATTATTTTACAAGCCATGTTTTTTAGTAGAGAATAGGAAATTTTAGGAAATAGAGTTACAGTCTTATCTTGCCTACTCCTAATTTTTACATTTTTAATTCTTAGAGTGCCTACTTGACACAATCAACTCTGGTTCAGCAAAAAGAGAGTCAGAATTCCATAATTCAGAAACTTAATAATAATTGTTCCGACCCGGGAACAGAACTACGTGTAAGGACTTCACGATCACACGTAAACATACGCCATGAAATCCAACTATATACTTACATATTCCTAGGTACATTCTGTATTTAAATTTACTTACATTGATTAAAAAGGTAAGTAGTCAAATTACATATTATAGAAACACACAAGTGAAAGCAATAAAATCCTATTCATATCAGCTTTCTATGCAGTATTTTATTTTATTAAGTAGGTACCTTTAAATTACCTACAAAACATAAATTTTCTACGGCTTAACTATTTATTATTACGAATGTGTAACATATACCACAAAAGGAAAGGCTAAGTCGTACATGTCATGTGGTGAGCCAATCTTCTACAATTCAACTAGATGAATTTCCTTAAAGGAATGCGGCGTCAAACGCACGCTGCATATCGATTGTGATACAAGAATAGACTTTACAGATGTTTGGTTAAATTGAAATGCATCTGATGTTTAAAGATTACGCACATAAGGACGTACTCATTTATTTATAGATTAGTTAGGACATCTGAACTAAAATATTAATCTCCTGACACGTTGTTTGAAAATTATTCTGATATTTTTCCTAAATTTATATTTTAAATGTTGCTACAATTCACCTAAAGTGATAAGCTGATAGCACGACACTTAGCAGCAAGAGCGTGTAGGACCAAGCTGCTAATAGTGGTAGTGGTGTCCGAGAAGTCTTAACGTAAGACAAACAATAAACTTCGGCGAAAAAAATCTCTAGGGCCCTTAATTTTACCTAATTGGAACGGATAAGTTTTGCCCACTCTGAAATTATTTGGAGAAAGGTGTAGAGATGGTCCATCACAGACTTTCATTGTCTATGACAGACAACAAAATTGTTGGTCAAAATCTGTTAAGGGTTGGTAGTTTCAGCAGTAGGTCTCGTACGGTCGGAATCGAACTTATAACATTCTGCCGTAGTGACGAGGCGACTTCTTTAACGCAGTAACTTTGCGCTACCGTAGTCAATGTCAGTGTCATAAGACATTGCTTAACACATCTTTGATTTTATCTTTCAGCACCTACGTAGATGAAAGACATGTAGAACAATGTTATTTTTAGAGCTATATTTTAATCTGAGATTTTTAAATTTATGAATAAAATATATTAACACTATCGCATAATCAAATTTCTTGTAGATTAATGACTAAAAACATGTTCATCATCACAAAACAAATGGATTTCTCAGTCAAATTTACATTACACTTAATTTTAAGTTTTTATAAATATTTTCCTACCTAGCTAATTTTAAATATTTAAAATATTAATAACTTCACAAAGTATATAATTGTCACGTCCTAAATAACCTGGAGAAGTTTGTGTTGGGTCCCTAGAAAATTGTGCCTTGTTTATTACAACTTCAAACAACAGCACTGAGACCAGGTCCAGTTGCGCCTCGAAAATTGTTAGTTTTTTTAGATAATGCAATGTGTCCTGAGGTCTTATTAAATGTGGTCTTATTAAATGTGCAGAACAGTTTATGAAACTAAGAGTTACGCCTGTAAACTGCTCACTACACGTGACGAACATAACTACCAGTAGGTTCTCCTTGCAGCCATTCTAGTTTGTCACTTGATGCTTGTGTAGAAACAAATAAATCCTTCAAAATAAATTGCCAAAACAATCATTCATTAAGTCCTTGTAAAAGCAAGTTGACTAGTAACAACACATTGACGATATAACAATAGCATTCATTCAAGTTCAGGCGGTGACTTTGAAGCGAGGTTACCATAGCACACACCTCCAGACGACCCCAGCTTCAACATTATTTTGACTGCAAAATGAAAATGACCTTTGTATCCGGTGTTGGTAGGCATAACAGCGTCTTCATTACTGCCAAAATTAGGGGACAGGGTTCTGAGTTTTAAACGGATGTTTATTTTTTAAGTCAGCCTTTTCTAATACATATCTAATATTGTATTCATGTTTTAAACACATACATACATACACTTAGATGTTTTGTGTGCTGTATTTCCTTTTTGCAAGAAATTGATGTAATAGAATTTATGATAATTACGTTTTGGACCAATTTGTTTGGTAATGTTTGAAGATATTTTTAAATTATTTATTATTAAATATTATTTTCCATTCTGCATTGTTCGCAGCAAAAATATTGTTAAGTGTTGTGGAGGAACTATTTTCTAGCTAGCATAATACAAACAATTATTGCATAAAATAATTGTTTTGTCTTGAATTTATCATAAATAGTTTCATTCACAATTTTGCAAATATCAGTAATCCGTCCTAAAAAGTCCTTAAAAACTACCGAATATTTTGATATTTATGGTTTTTAAATACGATTTTTATCATGTTTCAGTTTTTATATATTTTTAAGAAACTGCTTAATACATACTCGTATATTAGACATCATTTTCTGGTCAAAATACTTTCATACAATTAACATTGCACAGTTGTATTTTTTTTTTGCGATAACGTGTTGTATACAGTTATTAATAAAATGATACCAATTTAAATTTAAAATTACATCATTTATTACATCTGCATTTTAATAAAATAATAATTACACGTATATATACACAAATAAGTATGTACAATGATCGAGGCCGCCACTATATGTACACTGGGTCCACGAGTTATCACTAGTTCGCACTGGGCGTGGGGAATGCCTTCGTCATCGGCATCCGCACCCAGTCACCATCATGTCCTGATAGTTTTTGAGCACCACATTATTGTGTTCGTCCATATATAACATGGAAATAGGGGAGAGCTGTGTTGGTACGCAACACGCTTTAGGCACCGCGGCAGGGTTCACTGAATTCACAAGTGTCTGTACGATCGCGTGATTTGTGCCGTTCAGATGATCCGCTAACGGGAACGGACAGTCTCCTTGGCAGTAGTACGCATCGTAGCCGTGCGGTGCGACTATCCAGTCGCTCCAGCCGACTTCTGCAAAATCCACATACAGCGGTCGTCTCTGACATATTTCACGCGCCTCCTTGCGACGATGATGGGCGCGGTGACCCCGTCGTTGCGTCGCGCGTTTGTTTCGCACTAATCGCGTAGCACCGCTCTCTCGAGCGGCCCGCGCTCGTGCATCTTCTGTATACAGCAGCAACAACGGTTGCCGCGTGTTCCACTCTTCTTCCTCCTCCGTAACACGTCTACGCACTCTTACGTGAGGTTGCCGAGCATCTACATTATGTTGGCCTTCTTCTAAAACACGCACTAATAGTCCATGATTGTGTTCAGGCTCCTTAAGCCACCGGCGTGCGGCACCGAGGGCATCTGCTGTGACCGTGCCCTGTGCTGTTATTAGCGGCACTGAGTCGAGAAGCCGCAGAACTGGTGCACTTTTGCCTTTACGACCTGGTCGCACAACATCATATATAAGCAAGCGTTGGGCACCGGTCGCCCCATCAGCTCGATGGAAATTCAAATCAGCTCCACGGGCGATTTCATCCCCTGGGACTCCGCTCAAGTTGAAGAAGAGGCGAAATCTGTGTTCGCCTGGAAATCGGGCATCAAGCTCGGTGGGTATATGGTGGTAGGAGCGAGCTGTATTGGCGGCAGCGGCGGGTATGGCGCCATCGGTTTCATACAGCAGTCGCATCGCGCGCGGGACTGACGGAGTTGGAGCAAGGCGGCGTGCCGGGCGCGCGGGTAGCCCCAGCAACGCCAGCAGCTGCCGCTCGGCGGCGCCACGCGACTCCTCGTCCAGCTCCGCGGCTGCGCACAGCGCCACCAACGCGCACACCACCGCGCATGCGCACGCCACACGCATAATTCTCCTCGACCCACCTGCAAAGATAAAAATACGAATTAAAATTTATTACACTCACTTCATATTTATGATAGAACCCTTAATTAATGTAATATGTAAGATGATTTTATTAAAAGTTAACAATTCATTTAAAAGAAAGAAAAGTTAATTTGAAAAGATACATCCAGAACCTATTCAATAGTTTGATATTTTAACAGATATCTAAAATCTTAGACCATCGTTCTACATGATATTAGTAAATAAAAATAGCAAGAATTTCCAAGGAACGCATATCACTGGTGCATTTTACTAGCGAAGCCACAAAGAGTGACATTGTGACCGACCGGCAGTTGTTTATCTCTAGGTGCACTTCTAATGAATGCACTAACATATATACATTGTAATGTACTCATGCATATTCCATTCAATTGAGTAGGTTACATACACCCGTCAACAATACGCGAGTGGAGCAGCAAGTTTCGAAGCTCTTGTCACATTTAAACTGTACAAACTAAACAATGATGACAACCTACCATAATATTGTAGCATTTGTATTGTGTGACTCTGTCCTGGTTAGTTAGATATTAGAATTAACATTAAATTATTATTTTTTCAATAATTCACTAACTATAATCTTTTTAAGTTGAAGAAAATTATCATAAGGTTTTGTATAGCTGGTAATTATTAGTAAAGTCCGAGTAATCACATGCCTACGCAAAGTATTCATTAATTTGATATTAGATAATAAAAGCACGCACGTTGTCGACCGACTCTAAACGATGACTGATAATGGTCAGTGGTGATGAGTATTTTTATATGAGTTTTTTTTATATGGCCCGCCCCGCGGCCCGGCACTGCCCCAACATCAACGTCATCCCTTATCGGGTGATAAGGCATGACGTCGATGTTGGGCAGGTGTCTTAAGACGTATTCATTGATTAAATGGCCACAGTAAAGAGAAAACCACATGTAAACACATTCATCAATATGAAATAGAAAAATAGACATGACTGAACCAGGAACCAGGAACTGAAATTTACTGCCTTTGAATTATGGTAAATAAAAGAGCGCTGAGTCATTCACTCAAAAAATACGTGACAAGAAAATAAGCTTTTCTTAAAAAAAAAAACTAAATGTAGTTGTAAAGTCTCGCAGTTAGCCTCACCAAAACACTGAGTAACCACGGATGTATGTTTATGTTCTTATCGCATGTTTGTTTACGTTACACGTTTGGATTTTCTCTATATTCACGTTTCCCGCAAGATGTTTTCTCGTTACGTTAATTTATATGTTAGGCAATTTCGTTCACTGAAAGAAACCAGAGATCACATCACAAACAAGTCATTCATATACAGTGTGTTGTTAAAAGCAATCTGTGTTTGTTTTGCGTAACACATTATTATACATTTGAAACGTTTAAAGTTTCGGCAGCTATATCAAAGCTATATCAAATAGTAGAGTAGAAAGGCATAATACTGCTTTTTCGTCTTCCTACTGTTTGACTATTTGCAAGTCGTTTTATCTGTTGAGTTACAAAAAATTTAAATTCTCAAACTAAAACGTAACGTTAACTTTTAAACCTCATGTTGACTTTTCCGTTATTTATACTAAAACATAGGTACCAAATCTGTTTGATAAGTAGTCGTTTTAAACACTGCGGTAATATAACAAAAATATATTTCGGTCAAATAACTACGAGTAGACGATGTGAAAATCTCGAGAGCACACTTTATCGTGTTAAAAATACACCTTTCATCTTATACACCATATTAAAATGAAGAGAAACGAAAAACACATGTCATGTTACACAAACACTCAATATAAACATGGTTATATTACTCAAGCACTTTCCACAAGCGTTCTGTAAAAGACATCAACGGGATGCGTTTCGTCTTGTTACGGCTAACTGTACAGGTTACAAGGCTGACGTTATCATGTTTGTTTACGTTCTACATAGTAGGTAATTTCTTTGATATTACTTACATTATAGTTACATTTATACGTACTATGGCCCATCTAGAACTAACACACACTGTACTCAGAACGTAATAAAAAGTCCTACACAAAACTGTTTAGGTTATTTTACTGAAACAGACGAAAAATTGTGAAAGTATTAAGACTCAACAAATTTCTATGATCTGGAAAAATATATGAACGTCACCCAATTTATATGTTTTTGTTATAATGTTTTGATCGTTCTAGCGCGGTCGACCGGATTGCGGCGTACGTATTTCGAAAATAATGCGGTCAAACCGGCCGCGGGCGCACGACCGCTCGCCTCTCTCACTCACCCGAAATTTTAAGGCATCCAACGTCGACGGGTACGCAAAATCCGCGATATCCTCGAGAACAAACCACCACTCAACGCTTAGGAAACAGCTGGAGGCGCACTCGCTTACGAACGAATCGATGGCACATAACAACAGAGTCTGGTAACATCACTGGCGGCAGGCGCGCGGGAGTGGTCGCGCGCTCGTAATGCGTGCGGAGCTGAGATAGTGCGCATCGCGTGCTCGCGGCGCTGCGCTCGCGGGTCGAGTGAGCGCTGCGCGCGCGCCAGACGCGGTGGCGTCGCGCCGCCCCGCCCCGCGACCGGCCCGCGCCGCCCCGCCCCGCGCTCCGCCCTCCGCCAGCACGCGCAAGGAACAACCCTCACACTACCACCACCACCCTCTCATAACAGCCTACACAACAACACAACACAGATGCTTTAACAATCCTCCAGACATCACTCAAATAGCTCCGCAAAGAATATCACCGTGATATCACAATGATTAACCAATTGACGTTTTTAGATGTTATGGACAATTCAAAACAATTTTTCTTTAAAAGGAAAGTACCCGAAATAGTTTCACATATCGCAGGCAAGGTTGTCTGTTATTGCGCTACGCAGCTACGACTGCTACGCAGAAACTTTTAGGACATTAAAGCTATTCACTAAATTACATTATGATTAAGTAAGATAGTAACAGGTAGAAACAGAAAATTTAATCTGTTAAATAACCGTAAACCAAACGAAGGAGTTAGTCACTGAACCAATTTTAAGTGAACCGATAACCATCGCTACCTTTAGGCTTATCACCCGACATCCTCCTGACTCTATTATATTTTTCACGAATTCCCGATAGCACGAATTGTTTTCATAACTGCAGTTGTTACAAAAGGGATGACAATGAGATGTTAAGTAAACATTGCGAAGATGAGATGCTTACATACGCACCGCGCGTCTCAGTGATGAGTGTGTCGTGAACAATAATAGCTGAAGCTTCAGGTGGGCTTATTCGATACACGCACGTGCCTTAGCAGATGGTTCAACTAAAGTAATCAAACTTCAAGGCATTTGGAGCTAACAGGTGTTATTACGAATGTATCTAATTGATATGTGTTTGTTCATCCGGACGACTTTTCTGTCTGTCTATACCATGTCTGTCTTTACGACTAAACCAATGAACCGAACGGCATGAGATTACTGAAAATGGCCTAAAAGGTGGTAAAGTAAATTAATTTTATTACGGATAAGGACTACCCTGGGGATATAGCCACAAGCAATAAGAATAACAAATCACATTGAAAAATTGAAAACCTCCTCTTTCTTTCTACTGCCACTTTCTGGAAATAACTAGGTTCAGAATAAACTTTAAAGTATTTTGTTCTGATTTTGAAATTTAAAATATACTAAAACTCATTTGGCCAATGTCAGACTTTTTGTGCCATATGTAACAATGCACAGATGAACGGTGCTTTATGTAAACATGCTGTATTAGCGTTCATACCAACAGTTAATTGTTGATCTTGACCAATTTGTTTTGTCAAATTCATTTTATTATTGGTATATATACACATTTTAGTATATTAGACGGATATTTTGATACATTGGTTAGTGATACTGACTGCTGCATCAGAGGTCGTGAGTTAGAATTTCCTCTAAAACATACAATCGTGTGACGTGCAGGAAAATTCCATAATTTCAAGTCTGGTTACAGTATAGGCTTAGCCTATTTTAGTATCAGAGAGTTAAATTTTAGGTATCTCAAATTATTATATGACTACTTTGACATCAAGATATAGACTAGATCGTATTGTTTGCTCATACGTCATGCTATAGAAACTAAATACAAAAAAATATTTAACGTTCACAAATAGATGATATTTTGTAAATGAAAACTATAGTTTTTTGCAAAAAGACACGGTGTACAGTTAGAACATGATTAAAACGTAACTTAAAATGGAAGGCGTTGCGATTTTGGATACGCGAAGGTTACGCAATACCTATATAATATTTGCTCCGTGGTCTAGTGGTGCGCCTAAGTGCTCTGGTCGTGGGTTCAATTCCCACCCAGGACAAATAATTTTGTGATGAGGACGATCATTTGTTCTGTATCTGGGTGTACTTATGTAAGTATGTTTATCAGCAGTATGGTACACATACCATAGTACTGGCTCTGTCTAGTTTGGGGTCAGACGGCCGTGTGTGCAATGTCTGAAAATACTATAATTAAATATAGATTTTTTAAATATTGCTCAAAGAAAAAATATTTGTTTCAAATGTATTTCTTTTTCTTGTTATCAATGCTCTACTTCAGCCCAGTTTATTAATTTAACTACAATTTTGGTGCTAGTAATTATTAAACAATACAAAGCAACGATACAAAAACCGTCAAAAGAAGGTAAATTTTGTGGAAATTAGTTGGAAAATTTGGACAATTTATATAAAAAAAATTAAAAGTCCAATATATTGTAAGGTTTGGAATATGATATTTCATAGTGCAATCTATCAGCAACCATAGTAACAATTATCTCCTAAACTGTTTAGGCCGAGTTAGCCAGTAACCCAGTATAGAGGCACATAAATTAATCCTTATAGTTGGACGGACCAAACTTAAAAAGCAATTCAATACTGGTTAATTCCATTCTATAACAAAGCGGATAAAGAGAATAAGATTTTTATTTACATCATAAGACATTAACAGCTGGACATGCCTTCCACCTGACCTTACACAACAAACAACGTTGTGGTGTTAACATCCAACAGCTGTCATAATTGTATCATAAATTGAACAATAGACTCTAACAAGCATCATTTCTAACTAGAATCATTATAATATTTACTCATATTCAGTTCGATGTTGAGTAATAACCTTCATCGTCTCAACCTCGAAGAACAAAACTTAGGAAGATTGTCAACCGGTAACAGCCTATACCGTGAACTTTTATATCCCCTAAACTCGTCCCTTCTTTGCAAAAAGTGAAAACTTTGAATTCTAGGCGAACGACAACTTAGTCTTATGTTCTTGATGATAAACAATGATAAATGATAGTTATTTCTGTAAGTTTATCTTTTCAGATATTTTTACAAGTCGGTCTTGATTGACAGTATCTTATTTACATGATTCATTTTATACACCAGGTAAACTTTTGAGGTTATCCGAAGTCATTAAAGAGCCATAACTTCTAAATTCGTGTTCTACACCTAGTCGAAAGCAACAACATCATGTTCCTTATAAACAAGAACTTCTTTAGGCATTAAGAGGTAATAAGCGATTGTTGTTTTTACAATAGCATCTTGTTAGTAAATAGTTTGGTTATAATAGCTGCTATTCGCTTTACTTAGAGTATCACTTTGTACGGTTTTGGCCTAAATATTACGTTCGTACAGGAACTTACATCAAATACAATATGTAGTGATAGTTGCGTGGTAACTATTGTGATCAAAGTAACATTAACAGTTTTTATCAACCATTAGTCGTATAGCTATGTATTTGGAAAATAGGCCTATTAAACAAAATAGTTAAGAGAAATCGCAGTTATTCTACCACAGTACCATGAAATTTGAGTTTAGAGTACCATTGTAGAATTTAGATTACTGGTAGATTTATTATACATAGACAAAGTTACGGGTGCGGCAACACCTTACAAATATACCCATTCTTTGTAGATTTAGTATACAACAGATATGGGACAACCTTTATGTAACTATATATTATTGATCAAAATCGGTTTACTTTTTCGTTTAGTAGTTACAAGGGAACGTATTGACAAACATTCACACATACACACACACATTATGTTCAAATACATTACCATAAAATTATTTTAGATTTGACGTAGTTGATAAAATATAAACAAGATATTTGTTTAATTAAGTAAATCCTTCAAGCCAGGTGGTAATGAATGGTAGCTCTCAGCGTGGATATGTTAAAAGCTATTTTCATGTAGATCGGTGCTATCCCGCACGACTAAGTTCAAGTGAAAGAGCCTCTCCAGCTAGTGTTATTGGTTGAAAACGAATCGTGTATGTCAATTATCACTGGAGCATTACAAAAAAAATCGAGAAACAAATGTATAAGAGGATCAATCCCTTTCATTAAAAAAAAAATGCAAAGCGGTTAAGGAGGAAGACCGGACGGAATAGATTGTGTTTTCTATATACATAATGTCAAATAGCATTAATAGTCTCAATTAACGCATTAATTGAGTACTACAATAATGAAATCAAACTGTATTTGTAAACTACTAACTAAATACAAACAAGAATGACGTTTTCTATATTCGCACATAATATTTACGTTTGTACAACGTTATTTGACTAAAGAAATCAAACACGATGATTACCATTAAGTACATAACTATCAGAGACAAATGTAAATCAACAAGACAATTATTTACATAGTCAAGATGCAAATATTTTTTATTGTACGTTTATTACCGTTACATTTTTATTAAAGCCTTTCCATCGCCATTTCCAACTCATAACATAATTCACTGTACATTTTAAAAACACCGTAACCTGAATAATATGCAATATTATATACATATAAATTGCCAACGAATATTAAAGAAATACCTCAAAAAAACTCAATAAAATTACATCCATTAATTGGTAAACTCAAATGTATATTTCAGAGACTCGTACATGTCGGTTCAAATATTTAAAAAGATACCGGTACAATTGCAATTTTATTAAAGATAATAAACCTCAATTATTATATAGTATGAGTGTTCATAAATACAAGTTAACCGCAATAAGAGCAATAATAATTGTAAGCATGAAATTTGGCAACTCACGAAAGCTACCGTGCACCGCGGCATGGGGCAAGCGCGCGCGGCCTGCTACCGGAGCCGTTACGCGCAAATAACTAATGCTCTGTTCTTTTTTTGGCGCGTGTCTCTTGGAGCCGTTATATGAAGTATTTTGACGGTAGCGAAAGTTAGAATCGCTTTATACCAGTTTTTAATCCGAACATATAGAATAATAATTGATATTAAATCTACCGGCGACGTATGCCGTTGGAATCGAAACACTTGGAACATTAGGTACTTTAATGGTTTTTTTACTAGAAACCGGTTGCGAGTTCTTGATGTGATAACATTATATTAGAGATACGATTTATAGAAATAGAATTTGTATGCCCAGTTTATTAAAATAGTTTCTTATTGATGTTATTAAAACAGAGTATGCATAGTACAGAGTTGATTGCTTTATTTGAAAAGGGTATATACAAAGAAAGCATATTTTGTTATTTCATTATCATTACCCTTCAAACGTTCTATAAAATTATCATGAAGCTAAAAACTGATGATAGTCTCAATAACAATAATAATACTACTTAATATATTACTTTTTCTCGAGACAACCAAACAAATTGTAGATAGTAGGTGAAGCCTCGAAGGTATATATCATAGCATTTCGGACATCTAACACACATCGCGTTCTAGATTCAAACTAAACAGAGCTTGTACTATGAAAGCTAGATTGACTGATAGAATATATATATATATATATATATATATATATATATATATATATATATATATATATATATATATATATATATATATAGTTTTTTGTAAATACATACATATTATTATACATAGAAAACACCCAAACTCTGAAACAAATATTTGCAGAGCATACAAACATTTGGTCTGACCCTGGAGTCGAACCCGAGATCTCAGAACAGCAGTCGCATACGCTAACACTGCGCCACCGAGGAATATATAGTATTTTATTTTATTTTTATTTTATTATGTATTTAGACGGTTTTATGTTGCTGTTTGTGAGACTAGATAGCGCAGTCTATCCATCAAGAGCCAGTTCCAGTTATAACTTCTCAATCGTATAAGCCATATTGCCTTTCCATTACTTTCTGTTATTACCAACTTTTACCTTTTAACAATACTATGAAATTTCCCATTTAATTATTAAAATGCCTAAATTGCCGACAACCTGTTTGCCTCCTATTAAACAAAACCCTTTAGGGGAGGTGCTTGAGTGTACGTGTTGTAAGTATATTTTTAAAAAACCTTAAATATATGTATAAGACCGGATTTCTCAATGGCGTTAATCTTTGCCATGTTGATATATGTGTGTGTTGGGCTAGAGAGATATGTGCACAAAAAATATTTAGACAAAGAAAAAAGTTTGTTACGTAATTATTTTCATGTTTCTTACCTCAAAACCTCATTTATAAACCGATTACAAAAAATATTTTTTTATTTGAAAGGGTATATTTCCTCTTTAGTTCCATTCAAACGTGAAGAAATAAAAACACGTGTGGCACTCGGGGACTGCCCCGGTAAAGCTATTACATAGCATTTTGTATCAACTTATGCAATTATAATTATTTATTTATTTTATTTATGCAGTATTTCTTTTTCTTTGATATTAATTCAAGTTACACTTTTTGAGCGTGGTGACCGATAAGAAAACAATTTTTTTCTTTTATTAAATAAAAATATTAAAGCATATATTACAATTTGTTTTTAAATAAATAAATAAAAAATATTATTATTAAATCAAATTAAATATCCATGTAAGA